CAGGATAAAGAGTGTTATTTACCTTTTTTAAACTTTTCCACTAAACTACCTACCCTGGGGTACCACTTGAATTACAATATGCTGAAAAGCTATTACGACATTTCTACCCAGTAACACCAAAATAAACTGCCTCCCCCAGCTTAAAGGTAAATGGATCATTATGGGTTCAATGATTTACAGCCATCCAAATACTGCTCTCCAAACTTTACTCTTCACAAGACTGTATTGTGTTGAGTGTGTGTGTGTGAGAGAGAGAGAGATAGAGAGAGAGGGAGGGTTTCTGTCTGCTTGTTTTAATTTCTGTGTGTCTCCTTGTAACAAAACCTCAACGCCATCAAGGAGACCAAATGTTGTTTCCTCCCTCTCTAATTACCAGCTCTTATGGTTTAGCCTTGTTTAGCTGTCCTCTGGTAAATAAACCCTCATGTCAGACTGTTTTGTTTCACGGCATTTCTCATTCCCATGGAGTTAAACGTCTGTTATACTGCTCTCTGCCGCTAACATAAACTATAGATATAAGTAAGTAGTGATGTAACCTATTACCAGTCCATAAAGCCTTTAGTGTCCTGTCGTTCCCAGGAAAAAAACATCCTCAGGAATGTGGGAAGTTACGTGTCCTACATTTGACTGGTTAATCAGTTTGAACTGGTTGGTTTGCATGAGCAACAATATCCACCCTGAATAGACAAAGAAAACAGCATCACCAGAAATTCCAACGACTTCCATAGGAGAGAAATCACCCTGGCTTACACACTGTTTAACTGTCTAACTAGTGAGGCACAAAAACAATTTAGCACGCAGATGGAGGAGGTTTAGCACGTTTAGCATGTCTGGATTTATTTATTCCAGACAAAAGAAATACTTCTGATTGCTGAGGTATATCTTTCTCCAAGTAGAATATTATCCTACTACTATTTCCTTCTTTCCCCTTTCTTTCTTTTTCTTTGCTTCCTGACTTGATTTGAAATGCATAACAACCTCCAAATGGAAGAATATACTAGACTCTACTGTTCTTTACTATAGATACTTTAATGCACTACATCTTCTTTTCAAATACACTATTGTGAAGAAGTATTTCACTGAAGTATTCAATTTAAGTTAAACCCTTGAGTACTGCTTTCATTATAGTGTTGCTTTTCACAATACGCCAACTAATTGCTTATGGGAAACTGAGGCCTACTGCATTTTTTTCCCAAGCTAAATGACATATCTTCTTCAGTCAAAAATAATTTAAAGAGTGGGAACGTTACTTCTTTAACATGGGACAATAATCCTAACTTCTGTCTTTTATCGAGAAAACAAATCCATAAACATACTTCCATAACGATTTATCCTCTCCCCTCGGCCAGCCTCTTTGCACTGTAGCCGTTTGATGGACATTACTGTGGCTGGAAGTGGAAAGAGAGAGCGAGTTGTTGGCAGCTCTTTGCAGCAGCACCCTGTTATGGCAGTCGGTCAGTCCCATTAGAGCCGTCTCTCTGAGGGTGACGAGGAGAATTTGCCGCATGAACCATGACCCAATTAATCATGGGTGCAAATACAGGAAATGGGGGGGGGGGGGGAGCACTTGATTTCTTTGTGTAAACATCTAGACACACTCCACTAGACACATTCATCATAAATGGGCCGCTGACATTAGCATGTTTCAAAGGCAATGCCCTATGCCAAGTCACAAACTTTAATTTCAATTGGTTTCAACTCTTTGAAAAACACAGTAATTCTAATCAGATCTCACTTATTTTGATGTGTTTAACAATATTGCTGAATTATGAGTAGTACTAGGACCATCTCTACTACTTTAAATGGTACTGACTAGTACATGTTGCCGGGTATATCCTTTAAACAATTAAACATGTTTGTTTCCCATTCCATATTTGGAGTTGTAAAACAAATGGTCTCACAACAACAACAACAATTATAGTTTTATAAGAATTATTACTTTTCCTTTTAAATGGATGCACATTATGTTGTATTCTTTTTGCTATCACTGTATGCACATGTGTTTTATATACACTCAAAAGAAAAATGATTGCGCTTTACAGAGCAATAACCACACTATTGCAATTTTCTCCAGATTTAGAATCCCCCGTAGGGCTGCAGCAAAATAAAAGGAGGATGGAAAGGGTGCAGAGTGGTGGTGCTGCTGGCAGTGGTAAGAAAGCAGCCCTGCTATGATGTTTGGTGTGGGGGGGATAGTATTACATGCCAGCAGCCCGCTGGCTTCTCCTCCTTCTGTAGGCTGTGAGTCTGGAGGAATGTGCCGCCTGAGAACCACAGGGAGGAAGAGGGTACTGACAGCGAGCAGTAAACACACTGTTTGTTTGTTTGTTTGTTTGTATGTTACTGTGCATGAAGGCCCGTCCATGGCAGCTTCAAAGAGGCTCCTAAACAACATCTGTTCTGAGATTTCGGAGCCCTATACCGACATGTCGGGACACATCGTGATTTACAATCCAGGCTCTAAATCAATATTTTCCTCCATCTCATACTGGATTGTTCCACTGGCAAGTGTTCAAGAATGGACAAGCGCTCATTGAGGAGAGGGAAAAAATGTTGGAGCGGATAGATGGGAGGGACGCATCGCATTTTTCCAATTCACCACAATCAGAAACAGATTTCCAACAATTAGTCTGAACTAAATTTATAAGTTTATTCACTAAAAACGCAGTGACAGCGCCTTTTAGACGACCGGAGGAAAACAATTACTACTGATTGTGTTTGACTGTCTGCAGGAAGTTGTTTTGTCACAACATGACCAAGTGTGCAATGGGTGTGATCACTTTTGTCTTTGTTAGTTGTCAGTCTTTTCTTTTGCCATTTTCAACATTAATTGTATTGTTAATTTCCAATTTTTATGTAATTTGAATTTACTATTCTATTCAAATAAAGAATAAAAAAATATCATAATTCTTCAATTTTTCCTTTATTTTCCTACGTCCAGTATGTTTATACTTCTAACACTTATGAAATAACCTGTTATTTTCTCAGAACCTTCTCCATTGAAACGTCTTCCTCCTATCTGTAAACTACAAGTCCAGAACGACCAGCCTCTGAATTGATTGTTAGCTGCGGGGGCCTCGAGTATTAATCTCTTTCAGTGTGTAATAAGTGAATTAGTGGGATGTAGAAGATGATGTATGACGAAGGCTGGCATGTCTAAAATCTGCTGTAAATCCACATGCCACAACCTCTTAATAATGTGGCCAGAAAACTCCCGGCATCATTCCTCACTGTATCCATCGACAACCTGAGACTAATAAATCTCTCCGAGTTAGACAGTGCTCCGGGTTCGCTGTTGAGTCATTTGTTCTAAAAGAAAAACTGCGTTAAATGCATTGTAAAATTCCCCGGTTAATTTTAAAGGACTTTTGAACAAACTGCCTGCTACATTATATCCTAAGAAAGAAAAATAATGAGGTTTTCTTTCTGAACATGCAGCACTGTGAAGTTGTGCTCCTTCTCAAAAGTAATTAAGTCCATTCAGTTGGAGCAATTGTATTAGCATTAGTTAAAATTAGAGTTTTGGCACCCCCATGTTTTTTTCAGATTTGGAATAATCCCAAACATTTAAGTAATTTCAATTAATTAGTTTTTCACAACATGAAATATGTTGCTATTCAAAGTAGGATGAATTTTTTGACATTTATTTTGTATCCCCTGACTGTGACCTCCTGCTGCAGCCCACATAAATTACATTGAGGGAATTAGAAAGTAATTAAAGATTGGTAGCCGTTTCTGCAAATCCAAGTGTAGCTGTGTCGTTGGCTTGGGTGTGCTGTGTGCTTTTAACTTTTCCCATACGTCAGATGCCTTCCCAACCTCCAGTCTCCAACCCCCCACCACAACAGCTGGCGTCTCAGCGAGGGCCCCGGCGTTACACTGCCACCCCAGCCTTTCAGTGCAGATCAAGTATTGTGGTGTCGGGGGCCCCTAATGGCCCTCTCAGAAAAATGCACACACTACACCCATATGCAAGCAAATTATGTGATCCTTCATACCATGATGAATACACCTTTGGAAACATGGGAAAAGTATATCCACATGAATGCAAGTGTGTTTTCTTTTACATAAACATCTTAAATGTGTCATGAAAACTGATGTTTTGGAAGAAACATTAAGTTAATCATTCATGACTGAAATGTGTGATTTTTTAATGCACACCCTGTAACATGAACAACAAATAATGCTTGGAGATGTTTGCATCTCCAAGAAACTCACTGTTGTATAATGTGCATCACTTGTGACAGAACAAAACAAACAACTGGGTTCTATTCGTTCCACGATAAGTTTAAAAACTTGTCCCTGTTGTTGAATTCAAAGTCTGGATTAAAGGATTCTGCTGGCTGTTCCAGTTTATTGATGTAAAGCAAGTGTTCAATATTGGTTCCCTCCATAGTCTAAAATAAAACCAAGATGTTCCCTGTGTAGGATTCAAAATCGCAGGCCACCTTTGGCTTTTTTATTAAAAACATCAGGTTCTTATTGACTGTCCCGAAGACTTGTTTAAAAAATAATTTCTTATTGGCTGTTAAGTAAACCTGATTTACACTCACTTCTAATAAAGCCTTGTGTTTCCTGGAAGGAGCTGCTGTATTTGAAGTTGGGCCAAATAAAGCCAAGGTGATACTCTGATGTGATAATTGGGCACATATTTTCTACTCTTAGTCAAAGCAAATTTTATTTTTAACTAACTTCCAGTTTGACATTAAAAAAATAAATAATACTGACTGGAAATATTTTTGGTAAATGTGATTTCACGTCACAGGAATATATGGTGTTACCCTCTTATTCCCAGAAATATTCCTCCTTCTACCAAGTCCCTGCACTCGATTTTAGTGAATCAAATTACACTTTTGCTTTGACTCAGGCTGAAAGAAAATGCTGAATAACTGAATTTGTCAGGAAGACGCCCGTGGTAGAGGATCTAACGTGACCTGTGGTGAACTTGAGCGCTGTGTTTTTGCTGTCTGTCAGACTCTGTAGGACCCAGCGGAAAAGGAGGGAGCCGGAGCATGGGAGAGGGAGAAAGCTGCGTGGAGAGGAGACGCTCTCAGATCAGTCAGTGGCTTCATGGAGTTATGTACCTCTGATCCGCCGCCATGGATTGCAATCCGCGATCACTCCTTTTCATTTTACCTCTTTTATTGTCCTGCGTTATTTCTACGTGTGCCGTCATCTACGCTCCTAATGAAGGTAAGTCAGCTCTCAGTCTGCGGTGTTTACGTGTGTGCAAATGGTGCGCTATATACGGCACACATCGCGGCCAGACCGTGCGCTCAACGCGGACTTCAACTGTCTAAATTATACTGATAACAATAACAAGATGAGAGAAAGCGCGTGGGGGTGACCGAGGTTTCACGGAGAGCCAGGTTGTAAACACTAGTAGACAATAATTAGATAATAAACTTAAAAGTAGATCTTAACAAGGCAGACGGTGAAGCCTGGATACGGATAATCTCGCGCACGGGGGGTTAATAGTTGTTTAAATGGGGATGAGTGAACTGAGCGTTGGCGAGACAGCGAACATCGCAGAGTTATTATGAAGCGTAGACACGGAAAGAAACTCCGTTTCCGTGTTTCCATTTGAGGTGCACGTTGGTCTGTTTTAGCCAATAATCCATTTGGGGTGGACGCCCCAGTTCCGCTATCAGTCTCGCCGATTTAAAGGCAATACATAGAAGATGAGCTCAATCGCATTGTGCGTAAAAACGTGGATGTCTGTTTTTACGTATTTTACCTGAATACATCCAAAATAGTTGACTCGCGGGCTGCTATGTAAACCGTCTGTCGTTTGAAGTGGTGTTATACTGTGTTTGGAATTATATTTGAATCAGAGGTTACATAAACTTACATGTAAACGATGAAAAATGACGACTGCGCACACGACTTAATTTCTTCTATTCCCATTGCAAGTTTCGGTGATTCTAAGCATGTGGCAATATTTTTAAACCCACAACAAGACAGACCGCTTTAGTTCCAACAGCCGCTTCTCCAAACACGTGAAACTGCGGGGAAAACAAGTCAACCGGTCTCTTTCTTTATTTGCTCCACTTTCTTCTACTTTTTAATTCTTTACATTGCTACTTTCACGCCCTGCCCTGCATACTTGTCATGGTGTGTTTTGTACCCGGGTCAAAGTAAAAAGGAATGGCACACGAAGGTGTCCTGAGTCCTGTAAAGGTTAAAACTGCCCACAGGGAGGGAGGAACACATTTTTGGGGAAGATGTGGGTCAAGCTGTCTAAAGGACTACATTTAATTATTCCCTGTAAAGAATAATATAAAACGAATAAATACAATCCTCCCTGACATGAATGCATATCTCGTCCTTATTTGAAATCAGTTAATCAGTTTGGACGATACAAAGTCATTCAATCGTTGAGACCAATAAAGTAATTACATTAATCTGAATGAGCCTTTAGTAGGCGTAATCGACGCTTCTCTAATTCAATGAAGACAATGAAGGCACTGAACCATGTCCCTATAAGAATATAAGTAACTCTGGTGTCTGTAGCTACAATAAGTTTGTAAAGTTTTAGACTGTAGGTCAGAAGAGCAATCTTTGTCTTATAGAAAGGGAAAGTTATCCAAAACATGCTCCTTAGCCAAATAAACCATCGACATTTGAGTTAGTTTATAATCAATACGAAGTTTAAACGTAAACATGATTACGTCTTCTCAACGAAAATGTTTGTTGTATGTTCATCTGACATAAGAAAAATGCCTTGCTTACACTTCTATCGTTTGTTTGCCACGTTATAAAAAAGCATCTGCTCTGCGTAAATGTGAATGGAAGATATCAGTAGGCTACATTTCATGTAAGATTCTATAGACATGGAAGCATTGGAAATCTTGAAAAAAGTGTGTTCAATTCAGTAGAAGTGACCATGTCAAGGTCAGCTGGCCTACAGACAATCTGTTCTGTGAACTTGCTTTACCCCGAGATAGCTTTGGTTTCTTACAGTTAGTTAGGTGTAAGTATAGTTTAATGAGGTATAAAGCTGATGGATATAGTAGCAGCGACTCCAGCACTGAACAAAGAAACACAACCACATAAAATACACATCACCCCTGAGAAAATATACACTCTGCCGGTGTGTGTGTGTGTGTGTGTGTGTTTGTGTGTGTGTGTGTGTGTGTGTGTGTGTGTGTGTGTGTGTGTATGTGTGTGTGGGTGTGTGTGAGAAAGAGAAAGAGAGAGAGGGAAAGAGAGTGGAGAAACTTGTTATAGGCTACAGATAAAACAAAAAGAAAACTAACAGTTTGCAAGTTATTAAAACGTAAAATTGCTAGCTTTAAATGTAGAAAGTACCATATTAGGTAATTAAATGCACCTTCCTTACGACGTAAATCTGCCAGAGAGTGTCAGTATCGAGCCACTGCGCCTCCATATTGTAGCCTATATAAATGAATACAGACTGCTACACCGCAAATATTGACCCTGTAAAAAGATAAAGCTGCTTATCTTATAGGGTTGAACTATTTAACAGTGTTGTTGCAAATGGATCATCCCGCTCTATAAATCTGATTATGCTCCACTTTCCAGCCTCAATCACAGGTCAGATCTATCGTCGTTGTCTTCACTGAAGCAAGAAATCATAAGGCAGATCATAAAGTTATAAACTTTCTGAGCTGGGCCACATTATCCTCATGGAACACAGTAACAAATAGAACTTTCACCACCACCGTATACCAGATTTTGGATTGATTCACTACTTTCTAAAATTCACTTTAAAAGTCACTCAACGTGCCATGGAGTGTGCATATTCTTCTTTTTATAGTAATAATTATTTTTCTAATATTCATATTTAGACGACTGGCTCGAAATCCTACGTCAGTGTTCACACGAGTGAAAATAAAAAGTATACTGGATTTCATTTTTATACCGACAGTCTGCTGCCGATTTAATCTCGCCTGTAACGCGCAGCGGATCATGGAGGAGTTTTCAGAGTTACAAGGAGGACTGTTTACAAAGTTGAAAATCGATAATCATAAAAAAAATCTTGTGTAAATTACATCTATAGCCTTTATTTAATTGATATCACTAATTTAGAAAACCAATTAAAGACCGTCATTTTTCAACTTGGACTTAATGAGACTTTTCAGAGACCTAACTTGGAATACTTTAATCATTATTTTACATAACAAGTAAAGAAACATACATTAAATGGAAAACAAACCTCATCTGTGAACGGGATGCTGGGGAATTCGTCTAATTATTTTTATTATTTCCTTTCCCATTTATTATTAGCAACCTATAGAGGTTATGTATCTTGCAATCTCGTGCTCGCTCTTGGCACCGTGCCTTCACCAACATTTAAAAAAAAAGAATCTGTTTGGCTTTCATGAGGTCGTTAAGATCGTATATAAAACTTTGGGGGAGTGTTGAAGGAAATGCAGAGGAAATCCCTGAGAATATCATTTGTTGGCGCGGGTGCATTAGCTAGAACTTTGGGGCACATTTGACATATCAGATATTATCTGAAAACATTTTCCCACATATTTAATCGAACAAATAAATAAATAACGTTGTGAGTTTCCTTAGCTGTAGTGCAGCGAGTTCCCTTTGCGTGCCTTGGTGGTGTGATGTTGGCCCGCTGCGGGGCGTCGGGAGGCCTCGGGTATTTTTAGCCGGCTGTAGGGAGCCTTGGCCCGGAGAGCCCGGCGCTGCAGCTCCGCTGGGACGGATGGGCTTTCGTGAGCGATGGTACCTTTCAGAGGTGCTGGAAATGTGCTTACACATGCCCCTCCTTTAAAAATAAACCATGTCTTCTACAGTATATCCCTGTATTTGTTTGCCAAACATTGAGCTGATGATGGAGAGTGTCATCTTCAGTTTAACAGCATCTGTTTCAGGCTTCACATTTAGACACAAAAGAAGGTTTGTGTGTGTTTCTGTTTTTTAGTGTATATGGGCTTATTTGTAGAGATATTAGATTATACAGAATGTGTGCAGAGGTGCTGTATGCCCTTATTTGAGTCTTGAAGTCTATGTGTTTTAATGCATGTATGTGAGAAGGTATAGGGGTATAGAAGCAAGAAAGATAGATAAATAGAAAGAAGGAAAGACAGATACAAAGAAAGAACGAAAGAAAGAAAAGAAAGAAAGAAAGGGGAATGGGGGCAGAGGGGTTGGGCGAGCAGCAGCAGCAACATCAGACAGAGCGACTCTGCACTTGAATAATTCATAATGGGAGGTGAACACTTCACCCTTTAACACAGACACAAGTCGCCTTGCTTTGCCTGCACTGCGGCCTGCCAACCTGCACACAGCCAGGCTGCAGCCCTCAACACTTTGTTCACAGCTACAGGGGCGATATTACTCAAACATATGCATGCAAGTTTTTTATTATAGCCCCCATCTATTCTGAGTGGAGTGACTTAGTCCATATGGAAGGCTCTCCGCTTTACTGATCAAGCCATGTGTTGATTCTAGCCCATGCGTCTCTGACTGACAGCTTCTTCGTCTGCTCATCCCACATTTTAATTGTGTCTGTGCTGTGGCTGAGGATTACATTTCCATCTGCTGTGAATCGTTTTTTCCCCTTTTCTTTCATATCATCATATTTTACTGGAGGTGAGGGTGTATTGAATTCAAGTATCTGCTACCCATTAATGGCTAACTTAGCTGTTAAATTATGAGAACATAGACATCAAAATAGGCACCCTGTAGATCTCTGCTCCAATGTTTCCTGTTAATATTTCAACATATGCTATGCCAAGCGATAGTAGGTCACTAGCAATTGGAAAAAATGGCATAGCTACGTGACGTGTCTCTTAATCTATTTGCAAGGTGCTCATTATATTTACTGGCTGGGTGATACAGTATACAGCATGCATTCCCATCAGTTTATGAAACCTCTCAGGACATTTTAGCTGCCTGTGGCATGGAGTCTTCTCATACTTAAGGGTTTATCAGGGTCAGTTTTTGTGTGTGTGGGCGTCTTAATGTTATTGGCCTATGGGTATGAGTCTGTGTATTGATTCACCTGTTTCTACCTCTGTGATGTTGTGCTCCCTCCCAGACAGGCTGGTTCAGTTTGCTATTAATACTCCTAGTTCCCGTTCAGAGGCACTCCCTGATGGGGCAGGGGCTATATGCTTGGCTGACGCTAGCTTGCTAACCGACTGTGTGTGTGTGTGTGTGTGTGTGTGTGTGTGTGTGTGTGTGTGTGTGTGTGTGTGTGTGTGTGTGTGTGTGTGTGTGTGTGTGTGTGTGTGTGTGTGTGTGTGTGTGTGTGTGTGTGTGTGTGTGTGTGTGTGTGTGTGTGTGTGTGTGTGCGTGCGCGCGTGTGAGCGAAAGTGAGAAAGACTGTTTGTGTATGCTCTTATTTTGTGCCTTCTTTATGTGCGCATGTGCGGGGAAATGTGTTTTGGTGAGCATCAGACGTAGTATATACATACAGTCAATGTGTATTTGTGTGTTTTTATGTCATTTTCATTGTGAGTGGAAGCTGGTTCTTCTATTTGGTATCTTAGCACACATTTATGTGTTTTATTGTGTGTTAACTGCTCTAGTTTCCTGGATGGGGCGCATCCTTTGGTGTGTTTTTAGTGTTTTTAGTGACTGTGTAGCAGTGTTTATGCATGCATTTGAGAATGTGTATGAGTGTGTGTGTGGGTGCTGATTTCCCCAGCCAAGTGCAGCTGGAGGGGGCTTTTTTTTCCTCCTGCGATATGAGAGCCGTCTAATTTTCTGCTCTCAAATTCCCCCGCTCGGCTCAATTTGAGTGGTGGGCTCGGCTCGTTGAGAAATGTAAATTGGAAGCAATGGCCCTGGATGCTGAGCTGCTATTATCTGACATGAACAGATAGCTTCATTAGACTCTAATAGGAACGTGTCTACTGCCACTCAACTGGCTGAGTGGCTCAGCATGGATTCAGCACAGGTGAGCTTCAATTCAGAAGGTTTCTCAGTCTGGAATTTGATAATAAGTCTCCCTGTGTGTGTGTGTGTGTGTGTGTGTGTGTGTGTGTGTGTGTGTGTGTGTGTGTGTGTGTGTGTGTGTGTGTGTGTGTGTGTGTGTGTGTGTGTGTGTGTGTGTGTGTGTGTGTGTGGTGTGTGTGTGTGTGTGTGTGTGTGTGTGTGTGTGTGTGTGTGTGTGTGTGTGTGTGTGTGTGTGTGTGTGTGTCTTTCAGGCTCTTTTCTGGCCACACTGGCTGATAGTTATCAGACTTGCCTGAAGAACATTTGGATTTCTATCTCACCCCTTGTTCTAGTGTGAAACAACAATTACTTGGACTGGCAAATTCACTTTTCTCTGGAATTGTAGTTTTTGTTGCTGTGAGGGAGTTCATTTTGTTGGACTGAAATAGTTTTCCCAGTACAACAGGAATCCTTCATGACCCACAAACACTCTCTTTAGCTGTCTTTGGAGATATGTACGCTCCTGCTTAGTGAAGCTTTGAATGGGAGAGTACAGGGAGATTGTATTCCTCATATTTTACAGTGAATAGAGTTACAGCTGCAGGGCCTGACTGCACTGCTGCTTCACTTTGTTGTGTGTGTATGTACTCGCTTGGGTAAGTGTGTGTAAGTGTACACTTGTTTGTGTGTGTTGAGCTGAGGACTGAGTTGCTCTCAGCAGGATGAGGAAGGGGCTGAGTCAGTTTCATGCTCAAGCCTAAAGGAAGAGACCTTTGGAATGGTGGAACTATATTGTTTTACCATCTGTTTACTGTGGCGGGTTATTTATATTCTGCTTTTTCATGCAGGTCACTCGGTGTGCATGTTATTAATCCCACTGACATGGAAATTCGTGTTTTTTATAGTGATTACAAAAAAATATGGTACAGTAAATAAACATGAATCACTTTAGCATACCCTTTAACAATTTTTACCAGAAAACAGGCTTTTAGGAAAACATTAAAAAAATTAACAGAATATCTTTATGGTATACATTTTTTACAATTCCGCCTACTAGTTTATTTGTTCATGTCAAACTAAAGCAAGGCATCATATAAGTTTTGTCTGGCTTCTGTTTGGCAGAAATAATGACAAAAAATAACAATAAAAACTCAACATAGAATTGATTTATTATGAATATTTCCAAGTTACTTCCACTAGTTTTTTGTAGCAGTATAAACAGTTTCTGTATTCTGCATTTAGCTTCTGTTTTATGATGATCCCAAACAGTATCTGGGGATAATATGCAGTTTTTCTTCTAACGTGGGGAATCCATACAGCACCATGATGCATTTACATTCCGCTCTCCCTATAACACTACTGACAGTTGTATACAATGACAATAATTCACACCACTGCATGTGAACATACTAAAAATAGAACATTTTGTTCCTCATTAATTCTATTCTTGAGGAAGACTATCTATGTTAGAGTTTTTTTAGCCATTGTATATAAAGGGTTGGTAAACATAATGTAAATTAGCCCCAAACAATTCCTCACCCTAAATCATATCATGATTTTACTTTGGCATATTCACCAAATGTTCACCATAAGAAACCCAAAGCCTTAACTTGTTTCATCACGCTTTAAAAGCTTCGGATTTGTCATGTTCCATCTCTTACAAACGGATTTCCATCCTTCCATCTTGGTTTCGGTTTGATGTGAATGAATTATAGGTGGGACTCGTATTTCCTTTCATTATAAATTGAGTTATACTTTGTTTTCAGTATGACCAATCGCATTTCTGACGACCTTGGAAACTGGCGATTGCATCGGAAATTGATGAAGTTTTGCTTTACCTGGTAACAGTCCAATCACCATTGGTGTGTGGTGTGTGTGTGTGTGTGTGTGTGTGTGTGTGTGTGTGTGTGTGTGTGTGTGTGTGTGTGTGTGTGTGTGTGTGTGTGTGTGCGTGCGTGCGTGCGTGCGTGCGTGCGTGCGTGCGTGCGTGCGTGCGTGCGTGCGTGGGTGCGTGCGTGCGTGCGTGCGTGCGTGTGTGCGTGTGTGTGTGTGCTTATAAGAAACTGGTTTAAAACTATAAGACAAATAAAATTAAAATAATGGTTGTGTATTTTCAAAAATGGCTCTACTTCAGTTCAATGTTACTTCAGGATATCTGTGTTGTAGCCAGAAAACCTCCGCTTCGATTCTTCACAAGAAAGCCGCTACATTTTCTCTAGCATGCGATATGGGTGGCGCATGTGTGTGTGTGGCAGCTGCGTCAATAAAGTCATGATCAATGCTCGTTGGTGATCCCCCCTGTGGGAATAGAAGAAGACTAATTGGGGCTAACAAGGACTAGATATTCATGTTTTCTCTTCCTCTTCTTCTCCACAGTCAACCTGTTAGACTCTAAAGCAAGCCAAGGGGAGTTGGGATGGATTTCCTACCCACTGCATGGGGTGAGTATCCTCTGTCTCTACATCAACCCACATCATTTCTGAACATGCTTACATTTGGGTGGGGGGGCAGATCCACCAACACGCACTGGATGTTGGATTCAACGTCACACCACATGAAATCCGGATTTTCAAACTCCTGTGGTTCTCATTATGTTATGTTGACCCAATGAGCCAAGAGCAGATTAACCCACTTCTCTTTAGACATTTTTCTGTCCATTCTCCGTCTCTTAGGTTAAGGGGTTAAGCATTCGGGGCTCGCCATATGGTCAAGATGCTTAAGGGAAAATGTACTCTGTGTTTGTGTGCTTGAGTGTGCGTGTGTTTTAAGTAAGATTAAGGCATTAACAGATTTGAGGTTGTAGACATAAAAGCATACACACAAGAATGTAGATAAGCCCCTTTTAAGTGAATATAACATCAACAACTGATATAATTTGACTTGTGTTGCATGACAAAATAATGGTGCCATTGTTGGGATTTCACTTGTTAATCCATTTGTTCTACACAACACGCACAACCTCATTCTGTCCGTCACACATGCTGTAACACAGTTCATTTAACACACATTTTACAAGTTTGTCAGTGTCATGCGTTGATACAATTAACTTTTTTTATTCACTATACTGTATATATTTTGGTGTTGAAATACTATTTCTTTTTTCCACCGCAACAAAACAATACAATAACATGTGAGAATTGTACAGCTTTTTTTTAAAACAGCTAGCAATGTTGCAGCAACAAAGTTCCAAACATTTGAAAAAAAATCTCTGCAGCCTCATCTATCAGCCCCTCTCTCTCTGCTACCCCTTCACTGGGCTCTCCCTCAGTGTTTATTTGCCTAGCTAGTTAGACTACTGTGCCTTAGGGCTGGCCCACTGACACACACACACACACACACACACACACACACACACACACACACACACACACACACACACACACACACACACACACACACACACACACACACACACACACACACACACACACGCACACACACACACACACACACACACACACGCACACACACACACACACACACACACACACACACACACACACGCACTCACACACACACACACACACACACACACACACACACACACTTCCTATTTTTTTTTTCTTTATTAAGTGTTAGAATTACTCCTTGGCAGTGGCTTAAGGTAATCCAGTCATTTGTTCCGTGGAGCTGCCAAACCTTGTTTCCCTCGGCCGTATACAGCGCTGGTACCGTTTCTGTTTGAACCACAAGGAAAAAAAGGACCCTATAGAAGAAAAAAAAAACAGTGTGCTCTTTAAAGTCATTTAGTCTGAAAACAATTGCAGGCTACAAAACAATAGCGTGACTATTTGAAAGGAAGAGATTGATGTTGCGCTGATAGAAGTTATTCACGTGTAGGAATATCCGTATACCAATATCGAGGACTTGATCCAGCGCTGGACGTAGGAATGTGTGGCGGAGGTTTTGCAGTGTTCACAGTGAGCTCTGCTTTATTTCAAGTGATTTGCTTTGAATGAGTTCAGATGAAAAGCGTGTGGTTATACAGTTCATGAAAATGCGGCAAGAATAGAAGCCAATGTCAGCCTTCAATGAGAATGACTCCAGAAAGAGAGGGGATAGGAGAGGATCAGAAAGAGGGAGAGAGAGAGAGGAAGAGAAGAGGTAAGAGGGAAGGACAGCAAAGGCTGAGAGAGAGAGAGAGATATTGCTGATGATCAAGTCCTCAAGGTGAATCATCTGTAATTACTCACGTCATCCACTGACTGCACTCCGATAAGCAGCCTGCCCTGGGAGACTGCTGCTCACAAATGATTTCTCATAATGTGGCTGTGGCACTGAGCCCTCACACACACACACACACCCAAAACACTCATTCACATTGATGGAGAGGCCGCAGCTATTGGCCTACCGAGACACACCGTGCTCCGGTCAGAACAAATTAAGAGCTTAGCTTCCCCAGGTTGTTCACTCCAGGGCCACAAGCAGACTGACAAGTGTGTGTGTGTGTGTGTGTATGTGTGTCTGTGTGTCTGTGTGTGGAGTGTGTGTGATCCACATACCGTTATCTGTCTGGGAGGCAGGCTGATTGCTGAGAAGTGTCCAGGGGGCTTAGTATTTCACAAGACTAAAGAGTGTTAGAGATTACATTCTTGTGTTCTTTGAGAGCATTCTTCAGCAACAAACCAACACCCCAGACACGGGCTGTGCATACCAAATAGAATTATTGGGCAAAACAAAGTAAAGTCAATTTTAATAGGAACCAATAGGAGGAATAGAGTTCCAAAGCTCTGGTGGCTTAGTCGTAATTCACAATGTGCAGTTTGGTTTGCTCACTGCCATCCTTGTAAGAAAACATTTTTGATGTTGAATAAAACTATAAAATCTTCCATATACTGTAGGCTTCAGTTTGTCTGGCTTTAACTATTTGATTGGCTCATTTTATTGAGTGATTTGATTGCATTGGACTTTTTTGGATCGCCTGATTTGATAGGCCAGATGGATCAACGATTTTAGTTGGATTTATCATTTTTATTAGCCATTTGTATTACATTATTTGATTGGCCCATTGGATCCAGTCATTTGGTTGGGCAATTGGAATGAGCAACTTGATTGGCCTATTGGATGGAGCCATTTGATTGGCCCATTGGATTCAGCTAATTGATTGGCTCATTTGATCAAGTCATTTGTTGTCCACTTGGAACAAGGCATTTGAATGTCCCATTGGATCAAGTCATTTGATTGGCCTCTTGGATTGTCAATTAACTTTTTTGTTCATGCATAGGCTCAGTCTCCACAGGACTGTAGTAAAGCTAAGTAACAATGGCATCGACTGAGCTTTTGTGTCTTCATAAAATTGATTGACATCTATAGAAAAAAGCCAGCAGTCTCAGTGTGTGAACTCTGTTTAATCTGTCAGCAATAATAAGAAATATTTAACACAGACATTCACATCTAACAATCCAATTCTAAGGGCTGGAAGAGGAGAGTGGGGGGCCCATACACAATATAATAGCATGGCTTTTTATATTGTGGACTATGTCCACCACTTCAGTCAGGCAGCTTTCTGTGTTTAAGTGTGCTGTCAGAGTACAGATTTCTGTTTCAACTTCTTTAGTCACCCATGGGCTCTTAAAGCCCCCCATACACTGCTGCTACCCCATCTGGGAAATCAGCCTGACCAGCATAAAACGCATCCCCTGCCCCCCAGACAGAGAGAGAGTACAGAGAAAAGCCCTTCCATAAACGAGGATTAGTAGGGAGGGCAAGGGACCATAGAGGAGGAAGACGAGGGTGAAGTTTAAAGTGTATTAGTAGTTACTTTTCTTCCTGGTAAGACCAGCTGATGCAAAAATGTTGATTGACGTAAAGTCTACAGCATGACAACACATTGAAATTGTATCAAATACACCTGTTAGTACCAGAAATGCGTTGATATTCCCCCCTAACAAAAGAATATGAGACCTCAGCATAACTAAAAAGCACAAACAAACTACAAAAAGGCAAAGTTTCTTTGGAATGTATTGTTTCCAGAATTATTTATTGTTGCAGATGTGTCCTTGAGCAAAGCATAGACAAGGATTAGTAATGCAAGCTTGACGCCTTTTACAAAAACAATAATAAGAGGAGGAATGAAGTGTGCGTTCAGTGTTCCTTTTGTAAGGCCGGCTGATGAAATGTCCTCTGACAGATATGCCACAGTTGTCGTGCCAGTGACCCCACTGACCTTTATGGAGCCCAAGAGCTGCACACTTGTTGGCCCCTACAGTTTTTATGATTTACCCCTCTCCAGCTGTAGCTTTTTTAATGGACACTTGTAAATACTGCAAGTATTCTGCCAATATTTTATTTTAAAGCCCCATATAGTATCTCAATGTCCAAAAGAAGGACAACAATCTAACATCTCAACTATTTAATAATATTAAGTGGTGTAACATATTCTGAAAAACTCACATTCATTAAAATAAAACAATATAAACATATTTTCTATATTAATAAAACAAATTATTTTCCAACCCAGAGCTTACTTCTATACAAATTATTGTTTGAATATATATTTAGCCTCATTCCCATCCCAAATAACTTGCTAACAGATGACAATTGCTAGAATAGAGTCCAGTAAGAACGAAAACCTTTTGATAAGGGTTTAACCAAACCTACTGACACCCTCTTTAAAAATATAGCTAACTTTTAAACCTTAGAGAATAGGACACCCAATTGCAATCTTCCTTAAATATGACTAGTCTTGGTAAAATGCATTATTAACCTATACTGGTCAATATACTGGCCCATTAACTCCTGTTGACCTGGGTGTCTTTGAAGTGGGTGAACTGGTGTGCTGACTTGGTGCCTCTGAGACGTGCCTGTTGTAATGATATGAGCAGATCAGGTTACAACACTCCATTTTACTGTCCCTTTAGCTGCTTCACCTACCTACAGCACAGCATCAGAGAAACCAGTGGCAGGATCACACCAAACTACGCCCCGACGGTGACCATCAGGGTTCGGTGTCAGAGGTCAACAGGACTGGTGTAGGGTCCTCGTGCTGTTATATATCAATTAGAGGGCACGGAGAGGAGAGTTACGAAAAGAACAAACTGACTTTAGACCTTTATTTATGCTGGTAAACACATACACTCTTTCACAGATTCACAGTGGGAATCGCCTCTGGTGGCGAGAAGTTATAATGCTAAAAATGTTGCCTCTGGATTTTCATTTGAGATAAGAGAAGTCAAATACAGATCCACCAAATGATTTTGACTACCCAAATTTGCTCGTACAAATCCCTAAACCCATCTAAGGACATGTGTTTTGCAGTGTGCAACTATGCTTGCACATGCCCAAACAAAGTAGATATTTTGGGAACAATTTATCTAAATAATTTCTTTAGCCAACAAACGTAATAATGCATTAATTAAAATAACTAAAACATGTACAAATCCAAATGTGATACCATGATATTCGTGTTTTATCGTGTTCCTGAAATGTTTCGACTGTCAAATTATTTTATTTTAATTTATTTTAATTTCGGTAAGAGTGTTCTCGACCAGTCTTACCATTTTCTCTCACATAGGGGTAGGCAAAAATGAGAGTATACATGAATCCAAGAGATCACTCTGTAGTAAGAAAACAGGAACAAATCCTGGATACGAACATAAATGAGAGGTTCAAATATAACTTCCTGTGTGAGGCCAATTGTCATCAAGTAATCTGGCGTTTTGCTGAACAGTCCAACATGTTTTCCAATTCGCCAATGTGCACAGAACATGGTAAACCTTGAATCTACTGTAATATACATACATACATACAATTGATACCCCTACAGTCCGTCGAGAACTCTCCAACATGATATTTTTTTCTGGATCTGGATTATAATGTTGAGATATTCTCTGTTTATTCCACACTCCTTTATCCTCCTTGTCAAGTAAAGGACAGAACACAAGTCTTAACTAACACACCCAGGGAAGTGATTCAAGGTTGTTCATTCTTATGATGTAATGTTGTGTATGATGTGATTGGGAAGAGGATAGCTGCATGTAATTGATGCTATCCTCCAGAGTGGCATCCTCACATCATAGCGGAGGTCTGATTTACTTTGCCAGAGACTTTTTCAAGTCAAGTCATCTTCTCTGGAATAGGATATAGCATGCCTAACACACACGCATACATACGTGAAGACGCACACACACACACCTGGGTTTGGTTTTGAACCGTGTGTGTTTGGGGTTCGGCAAACTTCAGACCCCTGCCAAAGACAGCTTAAAAGCAGAGAGCAATCACTCGCAGTCACTTTAGATTTAGGCCAGTTTGCATCATATTGCTGGACATGAAAGTACATAAAGGGATAAGACATAAATCCTGCAGCTCTCACAGACATCTGCTTACAAAGACTGGGTATTATGCACATACACACACACCAATCCATGCAGAAACACAGATGCACAGATGCACACAACATGTTCATACTCGGGACGGCCTGTGAAGCGTAGTTCATGTTCAAAAAAACACACACACATACACACACACACACACACACACACACACACACACACACACACATACACACACACATACACACACACACACACACACACACACACACACACACACACACACACACACACACACACACACTTTTGCAGTCGATACAGACATCTAGACAGTAATGCACACACACTGTGCCCTCCACCCTCAGGCCACTTGTTCCGTTAGAAACCAATTTTGCCAGAGTAGCTCACTTTTTAGGGTAAAGGAAAATCAAACTAGGTAAAGTAAATATAGCAGTGATTTTTTTCTAATAAATGGGGAAGCAAGGGTGGACATTCCAGAGTATTACATTTTGGAGAGTTGCCTGGATTATGTTCGGCAACAATTTTTTTTTTTTCACTTTTAAGTAAGTGCTGTGGTCAAAGTGCAATACTTTGGCACCAGTGTTGCCTGATGTACTAAACAATATGTTCCTGCAACAAAACTGCATTGTCAAAGTGTTGATGTTCACGCCCTGTGTGAAACAACAACAACACAACCGTAACTCATTTTTCTTAATAACGTGACTTATTTTCATTATCTTCTTTCTAAATAAAGTAGTTCTGTGGACTTAACATAATCAAGTATTTTTTGCATTTTTGTTTAGTTTTGTTTCAATTTACAAAGTTAACCAAGTCTTTAAAACTGCCACTCTAACCCAAGATAAAAACGAATTTGAGAATGCAGTTTAGTTGTATTGGAACGTTGAATTGTTGGAGTAAGGGTTGCACATTTTGAGCAGACATAAGACACTTTGCTGACTGGGTAGCAGAAATAGAGAAATACATAACATATTAGGATAATGATAAATGGTAATGCGCTATGATTTAGATTGAACCATTTGGGGGTTGTGGACTCTGTGTTCATATTTACAATCCTCAACAGATAAAGGAAAAGCTGTTATTTAGCCTTTTTTGTTCAGGCTTTGATGGCTCTGTATATTCACCCTAGGGCCATGGGTACAAACAGACTGTGAGCTGGGTGGGTTGGGCCTTTTTGTGTTGACGGTTAGCACACACCGTGTCCAAGTGTGGGGGCACAGTTCCCACTATCTTCTGTGCCGTTTTTACCATTCAGACCAAGACATTCTCTGCAGTGCAGCTGGCGTTGTGGAACAGTAGCAGAAGATCTAAAGTGTTTCTTTAAAAGTAAACTAAAGCTGAGAGTTTAAAGGTATTACCAAGGTTTAGGTGAGGATTAGGTTTAGAAGCACTTTAGTTAGGGTTAAGAACAGTTTGTGAGTTTGGGGCGAAAATAGAAATGTCTTTATTGAGTACTTATTAGATATATACATTTAGATATTTATGATATTTTAAACCATCACCTCTGCGCAAAAAAACTAGATTCATGGTTGTGCTGCTTTCAGTCCTAGCAGGGAGACATTGTTTAACCAAGACAGACATTATAAATGTGAAGCTGAAGCAGATTAGGATGTTATCTTTTCATTTAGTTCATGTAAGTACATTGTCTTATCAAACATCATGTCAACACAATCACTAATCATAGTGGCAGCTCTTCTCCTCCCGCCCCTTCAGGTTGTGTCAGGGTCTTTCACCAAATCTCTTTGCACGTCATCACATCATTATGTCTGCATACATTTTGCGTCAAGCTATTAAACTCATGAGTAAATTGAGGTGAAATGTTAAGATTAGCTTCATCTCCTTTATTTTTAGACCCCACTACATCCCCCTGTTATTGTTAGAGCTACAGAGAGCTTGGACTACACTGATGAATGAGGTGACGCCAAGAAAAGCATGACGGGGGAGACTAAACACCAACGGAATCTCTCCCCTCGATTTTTCTCTCACTTTGTCTCACCCTCCTTCTTCCTATTGCTTTTTTCCCAGCTCTATCTCTTTTACTTCCTCTACTTCTCCATTCTTTTTCTCCCTCTCTCTCTCTCAAGGGTGTTTCATTAACTTTACTGTGAGATGAAAAGCAAGTGGCCATCCTTCAGACTGAGAGCCTCTTGAACGCCTCACACTCATAGATGTGCTACACACACCACACACACACACACACACACACACACACACACACACACACACACACACACACACACACACACACACACACACACACACACACACACACACACACACACACACACACACACACACACACACACATGTAATGGAGAACCTAGACTTTCTTAGCTCGTCATTAATTTCTGTGTTCAGGCTGAAAGCACCTGCTGTGTCCGCCTGCTACGGCACTTTAAACACTTCACATGAGCCCTATGTTAATGTATATGTGTGTGTGGGTTTATGTTTCCATTAATGCTTGTGTGAAAGGAGCGATAATTCAGTTTCACTTACCCAGAAAGCGTTTCTCTTTCTCCCTCTCTCAGAAGAAAAGCATTCCGGCATACATTCATTCTGAATTTTCACGGAAAAAAAATAGAAAAAGCATCCATTTACACATTAAGGCTCATTCGTTCTAATGACTGTCTTAACCACAATGAGCCCAGTGTTTCAGGTGTTTGCCCATTCATCATCACTCCGATTCATTGTTGATTTGCCTGGACTGCGAAGCCAAAGCGCATGATCAATGAGTCTTCCCGCTGTGTCCAATTCAAAAGGAATGACCCCGCTTTCTTTTTCTCCTCTCCTCTCATTGCTTTCTCCCAGTGGAGGGAAAATGTAAGATAGACACGAACGTTCCTGGTATACACTCACATCTGTCTATACTTCGTAGATTCTTTTGTTTCATAGTGGATTCAGCACGTTTCCTTCAGTAGCAGTAGTACTGTGATGCAATTAACCAAGACTTGCAGCTTGAAAGTCCTCACTTGTAGAGAAAAAAACATGTTAGTAAAAGGGTGGAAAAAAACACTATAAGATTTCTGCTAATATTTAAAAGCAATTAAGCAGCTTCACACACATTTACGATGGGAAATCACACTTTATGGTTTTACTCTGAGATGTTTTCACAGCACGCTAATCGAGAACATTTGGCTAATGCAGCAAGTTTGCTTTTAATTAATTTGAGTAATTTACTAGAGATCTTGTAGTGCGATTTTTCACCCTTAAGTGTTTATTAGATGCTTAGTATTCAGCAAGAGTGAATCTGTATCTAAATAATTCATCTGTAAATGCTTACAGGCTAGAGATAACTTTATTTTTTTCTCTGCTATCCCTCCTTTCCCCTTTCTTCCTCCTTCTCTGACTCCAAATTTCCCTTTTCCCGTTCCCTCCTCTTCACCTCTCTCCTATGCCTTTGCTACTTTTTTCTTCTCTTTTGACCCCAAATCCTAACCTCTATATCTTTGCTCCACCTTAATTTCTCCTCTTATCTTCTCACATCTTTTTACCTACTTTTCATCACTTCCTTTGTGATGAAAATACATAATACCTTTCCTTTTAACTGTCTGCTTCCTCCAACCCTTCTTGTCTTTTTACCTTCAATTGTTCCCTCTTGCACGTGGTTCCCTATCTCTCTTTTGTTCGTTGCTCCTTCGTCTTCTTCTGTTTTCTCTCTTCCACCTCTCCTTCTCTCCATTCTTTTTTTAGTGGGAGGAGATTAGCGGGGTGGATGAGCACTACACTCCCATCAGGACCTTCCAGGTGTGCAACGTGATGGAGTACAGCCAGAACAACTGGCTTCGCACCAATTGGATCGCTCGCCAGTCGGCCCAGAAGATCTACGTGGAGCTGAAGTTCACGCTGAGGGACTGCAACTCCATCCCGCTGGTGTTGGGTACCTGCAAGGAGACCTTCAACCTCCTCTACCAGGAGACGGACGACGACCAGGGCACCCACTTCAGAGAACACCTGTACACCAAGATCGACACCATCGCCGCTGATGAGAGTTTCACCCAAATGGACCTCGGAGACCGCATCCTCAAGCTGAACACTGAGGTGCGCGAGGTGGGTCCCATGACCAAGAAGGGCTTCTACCTGGCGTTCCAGGACGTGGGCGCCTGCGTGGCTTTGGTTTCAGTGAGGGTTTATTTCAAGAAGTGCCCGAACACTGTGAGGAATCTGGCCTCTTTCCCTGATACGGTGCCCATGGACTCCCAGTCGCTGGTGGAGGTCAAAGGGTCATGTGTCAATCACTCCAAAGAGCAGGAGCCTCCGCGAATGTACTGCAGCACAGAGGGCGAGTGGCTCGTGCCAATCGGGAAGTGTCTTTGTAACCCGGGTTACGAGGAAAGAAGCAACACCTGCCAAAGTAAGACAGCTTTTTATCTATCCGTTTTATTTCCTAGTCTCTCATACATTCTTTGTCATTGTTTGAAATGTGATACAATGCAGCGTTTGCAGAAGGGTTGGATGAAAAGACCTTCACACTTCATGTCTGTCAGCCAAAAACGTATAATATATTTTGCCTTACCTATACATATGTGTATATTCTTCTGTGTATGTCATTCTGTACCTTCAAAAGAACCCAACAAATCCCACAGCGCTGTCGGAGAGTATGCATGTGTGCAATGTGCAGTAGTCCAATAGTAATCTTCTGTGTCACACATCATTAGCAATGGGAAGCTCTTGACCAGAGTAGCAGGGATGGGACTGATAACCCAGAAGAAAGGAGTGGGCAGGAGTGGATGGTGAATAACGGAATGGTTGCGGTGGTGGTTGCGGGTGTTGGTGGAGTCATGAGTGAGTAGACGTTGGAGTCTGGAGATACTCGATCTCGCCCCAAAGTCTGTTGTCGCCTCCGATGTGGTTGAAAAAGCCAAAAAAGTATACGTCTGGCGGCCTGGCTTTGCCTTTTTATTTCAGACTGTCTGCGACATCATCATCACACATGCTTTGCAGGGCGACTGGCTTGAGTTGTTGCCAGCTGGTTATTGAAGAGAATCACAATTTATCCTTGACTGAAGTCACTTAATATGTTTTTGGGTCCTTGTGCTGATCCTTTGGACATATTTCTCTTTAAACGACACACAACCTGAGGGTTTTACTCGCAGATGTTTCTGTTTTCCATGTTTATTGATTGTAATTGTCCATTGAATGTCCTTTTCCCTCACCATTTCACTTTATTTCACCTTAAGTACTTGGACATTAAGTAAATAATGCCCCATGGTAACTTTTATAGCCCCTTTGGGATCAAGCAACCAGTGGGTTCAAAGGTTAAGTGTCACAAGGAGCCTTTCATTTCAGCACACAACCTCCCAATGGGATTAACATTAACAGTGTAATGGGTTATAATCCCCCCAGAAGTATGTTTATTTTCTAACCTTTTATTTATAAAGGGTTGCATGTATGCGCATAGACATAAGATAACTATATCATTTAACAAACTTAGCTAAATTGAATTTCCTGTGTGTGGCTTCTGCGGCCGGCGTAACAGCTTTCATCAATTACAGTTGCAGTACTTCATCAGCGTTTCCCTGCGACAAGATGTTTTGCATCTGTGCAGTAGCTCATCCAGTGCAGCGGCTCCATTAAAGGGATGCCGTAGTGTCCCATAGCTTCAAAGAAAGTAAAGCAGCGAAACACTTTTCTACAGTACGTAAGAGCATATCATCTTTTGAAATACTATAGAGTAAAGTAAATGAACAGAAGTGGTATGTACTTGTTTACTTCAGACTTGAGTTGTTTATGTATCTGTAGATTTGTTTGCCCACTCCAAAGAGAAAGCTGAATCACTAGTGGTTTTCTGGTATTTACTCCATTAAAAGAAAAAGAAAAGAATATTAAAACCATTTATATAAACATAAGGAAATGTAAACAGGATCAAATAGAATTACAAAAAATGTATATGACATAAGAGGTTAAAGAAAAAAATGTGCACATTGTACTATAAGATAAATAAAAAACACTAATGAGTAGCTCCATCTGCATGTGCAATGAATCTCCAACTGTCTTTTATTGTGGCTACTTCCTGTGTGTCCATATCACTAGATGTGCTGGTCTTTTCTCAGTTTTTAGCAAGCTCCTACCTCTGCTTCAGAATTCACATGCAGCAGCTATTTGAAAGCAGCCACCTCTGCACTGCGGCTGTTCCACAGTGTCTTTAAAGTAAAGTGTTGGAGGTTTCTAGAAGAAGCTGCTTGTTGTTAGCCTTTGCAGTCCTAGTCATTGTCCCTGGCCCTAAATGCTCCCATGTTCATCAACTCTCTCCTCTCCAGGGCCATAACCAGTGTTAATTAAAGATCAAAGGCAGGCTCCCAGGTCAGGCCCCTGCTGTCAGGGCCAAGGGAAGCTCTTTTTCTGGCTCTGTGGACCGCAGAGCAGCCTGTCTCACTGTCCAGATGCGAGGACACTTTGTCGCAGCTGCCAGGTGATAAATGTAAATAGTAAACAGACTGAGGGGAATGTGAAATGGAAGCCGAAAATGACAACAAAACCTGATGCCCTCGTCGTTTTAACCTTATTTTTCCCTTAAAAGAGGGTGTTGAAAACCTTAAAGTCATTAGAGTATCTCTTAATTTGAGTTGTCCCATGTCTATATTCAATTTTGTTTTAATCTTTATCCAATAGACAAGAGTCGAGAAATCAATATTTAGTTTTTTTACTAAGGCTTGCTTGAATACAGCAATTGTATTTTTGCCCCCAACTTTGGGAGTGCAATAGTAATATGCAAGAACAGGACCTTATGCTGACAAATGGCAGACCCCTGCCCCCCCTCCATACCACCCTCCATTTACTTCCTGTCTCTCTGTGAATTGTGTGAATGTTTGGATGTATTTGACAATCTCTTATTAGTTTCCGAGAGGTCTAATGGACTCTAATAAGGTCTTATGTTACCCTGGAGTGGGACAGCTGCACCAACAGGCCCCCGCAGCCCCCGCGTGCAGCCGTCGGGGGCCCCAACACGCAGCTCGCTCTCCAGGCCCTCTGTGTTAACAGATCGATGAGTGCATGCGGGTTAGGTCACGGTACAGGCAGATAGAGAGAAAGATGAAAACATATTTACAGCGCTACAGCCAGATAAAACAGAATGGAACAGATGTATAAGTATTTACATTTCCTAGCCACAAACTGGGCCCCAAAATATCATATTTCACCCCACAGAGAAGGTTGTTGGTTCATTATTAAACCGGCTGAACAAACAGAACTCATTCATAATTGGATACTTTTCCCTAAATTGTTGTTTTACTAAAGCATACAAACAAAATGTGATTGAGCAGAGGCCACAAATGAATAATGTGGTCATTAAATATGCAGGCTGTCAGGAAGCAGCCGTGAGGTAGATTCAAGACTCAAAATTAAGTGTTTGTATTAGGTGTTGTTGGCTTTGACTGTTCTAAATCAGATGTGGATGGAGCACCTTCACTGAATATTTCATGCTTTGTTTTATTTGCCCGAAATCCCTCCGAGAAGCATCTTCTGTTTACCTAATTTCTGCTCCGTGTGTGTGTGTGTGTGTGTGTGTGTGTGTGTGTGTGTGTGTGTGTGTGTGTGTGTGTGTGTGTGTGTGTGTGTGTGTGTGTGTGTGTGTGTGTGTGTGTGTGTGTGTGTGTGTGTGTGTGTGTGTGTGTGTGTGTGTGTGTGAGCAGGGGAGGAAGCGAGAGAGAGTGTGAGAGCAGTTGCCGTTGTTTACACAGACTCCAAAGTGTGTTTAAGGGCTTGAATAGAATACCCTCTAGTATTAGACTGTCATTATCTTGCTTGGCGGTGTATTTGTGTGTTTGTGTGTATAGCCAGACATGTCTGTGAAAGCGAGGATGTTTTTTCGGTGTGGCTTTGGCAATGGGACAACGTATGTGTGCATGCCTGTGTGTGTGGCTGCATGTACGTCACAGGTTTCAGTCGTAATTGCTGTGAGCACATTTTGATATTTCATCATCCATATCAGTGCAGATGTCATCGGATCTTTTGTCAGGGAGAATCGTCGTGAGTGGATGTGGCGTTTTTTTCAGAATTTACGAGGTGAATGGACGCGTCACTCATCGTCTGGATTACTGTATGTTTTGTGAGCAGGCTTCGGCCTTTCCACGGAGAATGTGAGTCCAGATCTAATCTCGCTAAGTCAGTCTTTCATCCGTCATTAGAACAGACTGGAGCAGGTGAACCAGCTCCTATCTACCAACAGTGTGAAATTCCTGCGACCCTAATTTGATCCTAAAACAGCAAACGGATGTCTGTCCGTCCAGTTTGAGTGAGTGTGTGTGTGTGTGTGAGTGTGTGTGTGTGTGTGTGTGTGTATATATTGCAAATGCACGCAGCTGTTCCGCTGTACGTTGCGGCAGGTTTACATTCTTACTGGATTTATCAAGACACACAATCCTCAAAGTTGCCGGTATCAAAATGCTTATTATAATTACATATACAGTAAATCAGTAAACATAGACACTCACGGATAAACTCCAGCCTTCTTCAGCCTGATTTTCTGGTTTTGCATGGATTACTTACCATATCTTAGTATACGTGGAAAGGAGAGAAGTTAATTTGGCCAAGTTTGAATGAACTATACAGATTAATATGATTTATTTTTGATCATTTTGTACTGATGTTACACCGGGCTGGGCTTTATATCGATATTATATCAACATCGTTAGAAATTTTAATATTACAAATATTGCCTTAAACTGGTTTTAAAGGCTGCATTCCAATAAAATAATGTACTTTTCTGGACCACCAGACTTAAGTCAGTAAATCTACATTACTGATGGTTATTCATCAAAATGCTGATTGTGAAAATATTTTGTGAAAGCGCCAATGGTCATGGTCATAACAAATGAGTTTTGAGTTATATGGTAAAACCATATTGTATTATTTGATTTTCTTTACTGTATATGGCTCAGCCCTGTGGAACACGTTTTAAAATTATTGAAGAGACCGCAATGATCTCAGCATTTCCAAATGACAAGGCCGTTCTCTCCTTGTTTACTTCCTCTCTTCCTTTCCTTCTCTCTCCACTCACCCTTGTGGCTGATGGTCTTGGCCGCCGGTTCAAAGCCCGCTGTCCATCTCACATCGAATGTTTTATATCACTCTCCACTCTCTGGCTTAAGTGATTTAGCTGCTGCCCTCATGCACACACATACTTCCAAGCAGACGCGTTATCATCTTTCATTGGCTTTGTCACGCAAAACCTCCATCAACCTGACCAGTGCAATGATTCAGCATCCATTTCATCATTCGATTGGAAGCAAAGCTGTATTCAGCCTGAAAGATGATTCAAAAGATTCCATGTAATGTCATTGGGGGTTTCTGGAACTGCCAATGAGTCTCTTTCCCTATTTCATCTCATTATTTTGGTCTGCTGGTCCCTTGGGT